GGGGGGGGGGGGGGGGGGGATCTTTACAATGCGGTGTTTGGACGGAGCTGACATGACCTGTTTTGTTTTTTGTATTTTCTTCGTGTGTGTGTGCGTGTGTTTGTGTGCGTGTGTTTATGCGTGCGCGCGTGAAAACGCCCACCTCCTGAACATACGCATTATAGCGCAGCGCTGCCATGCTTCACATTCATCACGGGGCGGGGGGGGGGGGGGGGAGTCACGCGCCGCTTCCCGCGCCTCTCCTCACTCCTTCATGTCACCGACAACACGTGAAATGAGCCAACTGCACCCTCAGATATTAAAACAACCGTTCACCCCTAAAACCGGATCATAAACTGAGTTATTTCAGCCCCCCCCACACACACCCGCACCCCCAGCCCCAGAGGCAGGAGAAAGGTTCGGGTCCAGGTCGGGTTCGGTCTTACCTGTGCCTGCTGTCCGAGCCCCGCAGTCGGTTCGGGAGGAAACGTCTCAGCAGCTAACCGGTACCAGCCTCGGTGTCTGTCTGGAGGACTGGATGCTGCGAAGGCACTGCTGCTTCCTCCTCTCCTCTTCTTCAATTGGGGGGGGGGTCTAAAGATGGCGGATGCCTCTGACGTAAGCAGCAGCTTTTAATAGATATCAGTCAGAGAGAGGCAGAGAACACGGAGTTTACGTTCTGATGTCCTTACAAAATCATCATCATCTGTGTCAGGTCTGTTAACAAAATAACTCATAACCCACTGGACGGATTTTAGACACCCCCCCCCCCCCCCCTCCCTCCAGAAAGTAAACAGGATAGAGATTTATGATTAACCGAGTTAAGAGAATCCAAATTAGAAAAATTACCTGAAATGTTTTTGTGTTTCTTAATTTGGTTTAAAATAAATCTGCTCTACAACTTTATACTGTGATTAATAAATTTATTTGATTTGATTTTTTTGTATTTAGTATTTTTTTGAATGTATACAACTCAACCTGTGAAACGTAATTGTTGCTTTGTATTACATACATTGTTTGCCTTGGTTTGTTTGTAAATTGTTGTACATAATTAAAAAACAATAAAATAAAAACTTGAGTCAAGATGGCCGCCACAGTTGACTTTATCCAACACAGAAATGGTTAAACTTTGAGTTTCACAGATATGGAGCTGGGAGCTGAGCAGTGTTCCACAGTGCCTCCTCCAAGCACTAACAAGACTGCAAGTTTTTTTGTTTTTGTTTTATTATTATTTAAAACTTCGCCATAAAGGATTGGAGTAAACTTTGTCTGTTAGCAACATATCTCATGAAACATTAGTATTTTAAAGAAACTCTCAGACAGTATTTGCAACCCAATTAAAGATGGCCGCCACAGTCTTGTTATCTGAGTTTTGAACAAGATCAGAAAATTAAAATAAACTATAGAAAAATATTTCCTGTGAAAACGCATTTCATCACGAAACTGATAACGAGCGCTGAATCTGAACCGCTGACTTTTGCTGAAAGTGTTATGATTCGGACTACCCAGTAGGAACGAGAACCAGAACGACAAGAGTCTCAAGTAAGCAAAACAGTGTTTATTATTTACAGTGAATGAGACGACAGGTATATACAAAAGTTGGCCTGGGACTCCTGAAAAAGGGAGAGACAGGGTCAGGTCTAGGAGGCAAAAGGAGGCAGCTCCAAAACGATGGAATAAATAGTTTTGTCTCTCCTTACAGGTAAATCCTTGTGGTTGAGGCTGTAGGGGAAACGCTCAAGGCAGGCAAGTGGTTGGAGGGCAAAAGCAACAGAGACGAGACTCCGGCACAGGAAGAACCAAGGGCAGGATCCGAGATGACCAGAAAACTGTAGACACGAGAAGCAAGGTAAGATATCCTCTCCATATACTGGCTAGAAGCACAAATACCCGGAAGGAATTAATGCTCCAGCGACGAGAAGAGCTTGACTGCAGCCTTATGTAGTAGAGGAGCTCGTCAGGTAGATGGTCGTCAGCTGTGGATGATTGGTGGCCGTCTTGGAGCTGCAGCAAGTTCAACTCTTACAGAAAGCAGAAAAATAAAAGCAGAAAATGTGAGCAGTAAAAGATTTTAAACAGCTCAAGAGTCTGAAGGTTTAAACGAGCCACTAGGGAGCCCAAATATCTGGTTCTGGTCCCAAGCCCGGGTAAATGGTGAGGGTTGTGTCGGGAAGGGCATCCAATGTAAAACACTTTTGCCAAAACTATAATGTGAGTTCATCAAAGTGAAATCATACTGGATCAGTGGAGGCCCAGGTTAACAATGACCGCCACTGGTGCTCTTGACAAACGGTGCCGGTGGAAAATGTGCAAATGTTAGTCGAAGACCACGAGGAGAGAAACATGTCAGGAGACAGAGGGAGAAGAGGAAAGTCAAGAATGTAGGACTGAGGGTTGCAACCCTAAATGTGGGGACAATGATAGACAAAAGTAGAGAGCTGGCTGACATGATGCAGAGAAAGAAGGTAGATGTTTTTTTGTGTCCAAGAGACCAAGTAGAAGGGCAGCAAGGCTCGCAGTATTGGAGCAGGGTTCAAACTGTTTTACCATGGTGTGGATAGAAAGAGAAATGGAGTAGGGGTGGTCCTGAAGGAGGAGTTGGCAAAGAATGTAATAGAGGTGAAAAGAGTGTCAGATAGGGTGATGTGTCTTAAGGTAGAAGTAGAAGGTCTGATGCCAAACATTGTCAGTAGTTATGTTCCACAGATTGGATGTGATGTGGAGGAGAAATATACATTTTGGAAAGATCTGGATGAAGTGATAGAGAGTATTCCCAGGGAGAAGAGAGTGGTGATCGGAACAGACCTGAATGTGTAAGGATGGTGCCCTCTTGTGTTTGGTTCCCATCCCTACACCTCCTGGTTTCCCGGTCCTGATCATTTATGTCTACGTGTCCTGTCTAGGTGTTTGTGACTGTGTCTGATTACTCTGTGTATATAAGTTTGCGTCTTTGTGTTACTCTTTGTCGGGTCATCGTCTGCGATTACTGTGTCTTCGTCTGGTCCTCACAAAATTTCCTACGTTCTGTGAGTAACGCTGCCTCATCAGCAGTTTTGTTTTGTGCTCATTAAAGAGTTTATTATTTTACTCTTCACGCCTCCGAGTCCTGTCTGCACACTGGGTTCAGACCATAAACACACAGTTCCTGACAGTATGACCCGACCCTCAAAAGAACCCAGCAGACAAAAGACTCGGATTGACAGGACTCCCCGATGGAGAAAGGGGACGAATCAGACCCAGGAGCATGCAGCTGTCATCCGAGTGAGTGGGTTCCGAATCGAACCCATCCGGAGACACCACAGCCCTGAAGTCAAGATCCTCCCTTCAACACTCCTGGTTGAGGAGGAAGAGATGAGGTGGAGGACTAAGCCCAGAGGCAGCTGCCTGGACATTGAGACAACCTCCTTCTCCTTCCCACCACAGTTGTGTTCCCTGTGGTCCTCCTCAGATGACTCCGAGCCAGAGGAGGAGTTCTGGTTCAGTTCTGGTCCTGGTCCGCACCACCGCCATCGGAGGAGTCGACGGTCAAAGAGGGTGAGGAACCCCAAGATCCAGCTCCTTCCTTCTTCAGTTCTTCCCCATCCCCGCCGAGCTGTCAGAAGAGCCAGGGAGGCTCTTGTGGGGGGGGGGGGGAGATTCCTGAGCCCCCACTCACCAGAGGAACGAACAGGCTCAGGGGCTGCAGAAAATTCTGTACCTGTCGAAGCTCCCATCTCTGCAGAACCTCCAACAGCAACAGGGGGCTCTGATGAAAGAACACCTGAAAAGGTTGCTGCTGTTTTTTAGTAGCTCCAGAGACTTTTTGATGCTGCTTCCCATAACCTAGACCCTCATTACAGACGTAATACCTATGCCATCATGGAGGACGTGCTCACGTCTAAACCCAGACTGTTGCAGATCCCAGACCTCGCCCACATTTTTCTATGGTAAAGGCTCTGAAAACAGAGTATCAGAACCTTTCAGACTCTCTCTCCCCTTGTGAATCTGCCGAGATCCCAGCGCCTGCAGCCGAGGTCCCAGCGCCTGCAGCCGAGGTCCCAGCGCCTGCAGCCGATGTCCCAGCGCCTGCAGCCGAGGTCCCAGAGTTTGCGGCAGAGAACCTAGCGTCTGCGGCAGAGAACCTAGAGTCTGCGGCAGAGAACCCTGCATCCATGACCAGAGAAGCCTCCACAGTCACAGAGGCATCCCTGACTGCAGAGGTCTCCACCACCACAGAGGTTCCCATGGCTGCAGCTCCACAGCCTTCACTGTCCCTGCTGCAGCTCTACAGCCTCCAGTGTTGCCCCCTGCTGTAGCCCCTGAAACGGCTACGCCCCCTCCTGCAGTCCCAGAGATGACTATGTCCCCCTGCTGCAGTTTCTGAGATGGCTATGCCCCCTGCTACAGCATCTAAAGTGACTATGTCCCCTTTTGCAATCCCAGAGACAGCTATGTCCCCTTCTGCAGCTCCCAAGACGGCTACATCCCCTCCTGCAGCTCCCGAGATGGCTACGCTCCCTCCTGCAGTTTCTGCTGCAGTTCCTGAAATGGCTAAACCGCCTGCAGTTTCCCCTGGGCTCAGCATCAGCTGTAGAACCCATGGTTCCTCTATTCCTCTTCGCACGGGCTGGACGGTCATTGTTCCTTAGGGTGTCCATAGGCAGCCCACAGAACCTGTCACCCTATGCTGAATGGCCTCCTGGCTGCCCACCCGAACTTCTGCCTTGTGCTGGACAGCCTCCCGGCTGCCCACCTGAACTGCTGCCTTATGCTGGATGGCCTCCTGGTCGGCCACCTGAACTGCTGCCTTGTGCTGGATAGCCTCCTGGTCACCCTCCGGAGCTCCTGCCTCATGTTGGATGGCTCCTGGTCGCTCACCCAATCTGTTTCAGCGATTTGGATGGCCCCCCACCTGAACTGTTTTCCTTGTGTTTAGTCTTTGTGTTTAGTTCCCAGGCCTTGTCCTGTTGGTTTTTGGTTTCTTGTCATTGTGTTTCCTCGTGCCTTCCATCCTTGCAGTTCCTCCCTCTACCCGCCCTAGTTTTTTTTTTCTTTTTTGGGAGGGCTTTCTGGGACACCAGAGGGCATTCTTGTGTGTGTGTGTGGGGGGGGGGGGGGGGGGGCTACTGTAAGGATGGTGCCCTCTTGTGTTTGGTTCCCATCACTACATCTCCTGGTTTCCCGGTCCTGATCATTTATGTCTACGTGTCCTGTCCAGCTGTTTGTGATTGTGTCCGATTACTCTGTGTATATAAGTTCACGTCTTTATGTTACTCTTTGTCGAGTCTTCATCTGTGAATATTGTGTCTTCGTCTGTCCTCACAAAATTTCCAACGTTCTGTGAGTAACGCTGCCTCGTCAGCATTTTGGTTTTGTGCTCATTAAAGAGTTTATTATTTTACTCCTCGTGCCTCCAAGTCCTGTCTGCACACTGGGTTCAGACCATAAACACACCATTCCTGACAGAATGGACATGTTGGTGAAGGAAACAAAGGGGACAAGGAAGTGATGGGTTTGGTGTCAAGGAAAGAAACCAGGAGAAACAGAAGGTGGTGGATTTTACCAAGAGAATGAAAATGGCTGTAATCAACACTTGTT